ACACACACACACACACACACACACACACACAAACACACTCACACGCACACACACACACACATACATGTACACACACACATATTTTTGGAGTTAAACTTTGACTGCTTCAAATTTTTTTTAAGATTCATAGTTCTTTTGTTTCTTTTCTCCAAGTGTGCAAAGATAATTAAAAAAGGCTGAGGAAGCATATGGAGGGAGTCACTTTTCTTTCTTTTTTCAGTTCTTTCAAATTTTTTTCCCTTCTGCTTTGACTTCCCTTTACTTTTCGACAACTTACTGGGAGCACTTTGCTCCTAACGGACCTCTAGATGACAAACATTATTGTTGTTTTGTTTTTTTCTCGCATGGAATCTTGAAAGAAAAATCTGTGTAAAGGTTGTTTGACTCTTGATGAGTGCTCCTGAGTTCCCTTCTGTGATGTGTTTCATTGTGTGTGTCCATGGTTGTTGCTGTGTCACCTGGCTGACAACTTGTGTTTACAGACTGACAAAGGAACTGCCCTGCATGAAGCTACTAACTTTTGTAAGCTGGACGTCATACGCCTGCTCTTGGACAGAGGTAAAAATCAAAGGATGTAATATTTTGAAGGCTTTATGACAAAATGGATTATTTCCTATATTCAAACTTGTTTATTTTAAATTTACCCCTGGACATCAACTCGATTCTTTAAGTCTTTTATTTTAAAATTTTTAAAATGTCAAAATGCACTGCTATCAGTGACTGTATGCTTCATCAAAGAGTTGTTTTTTTTCCTACTTATTTTTAAGCAAGTAGTCAGCCTTTCTGCATTTTTCACATTTTGGATATAACACACTTTGTCATGAAACCATTCATTTGTGATCCATATCTACTAAATAGCTAACATATTATTGCAAATTAATACTTTTCTACTTATTCTGTGGAGCCCAAAATCGTAAATAGCTCCCTAAAGTCAGTGTGCTGACATTGTTTGACTAAGTGCTACCATAACCATAATGTTTCTCCTTAAAAAAATATCAGATGAGAATGCTGTCCTCTAACTCATAACCCTCTCAGATGGTCAGGAGACTCTTTGCTCCTCATCAGAATTTGTGATTTTTCTCATGAGAAATGATTTGCTCAAATCTCTGGTAAGACATGACTTTCTTTTTGTTGTATGGTCTCTGTCCTTTTTTTTTCATTTCTCCATCTCTTTTTAATACTAATTTCATTGTACTTTCAGTCCTGTCCGAGCAGGGTATATAAATACTAAGCTGCTCGCGGAAATGGTGCAATTTCTAATCTAGTGGGATGCCACTTGTAGCCTATGCTATGACAATTTGTGGCTTAGAGTCTGTTTCTTTTCTGGGTTTTTTCAAGGTTTGTTTTCATCCAGAACAGATATAATAATATGCTCAACGTGATCTGCTCCAAAATGATTTGCTCGATCTTTGCTTAAATAAGCTGGTTAGTGAACCCTTGTCACTTGTTGCTGACAGCAAAATGAAATTAGATTTATAAAGGCAGTGAGAAATGAAAAAAAATGACGAAGACCAGGCACACACAAAAAAAGTTTTGTCTCACCGGTACATTTAAAGGCTTTCAAAGTCCTGCAGTAAAGGTCCTACCAATTGAGTGAAGAGTGAATTACCTGTGTGGTTAGTTCAGCCTTGTACATATACAAAAGCATGAACAGTCAGGTATGTACAGCTCAAATATGATGTAGATTGAATGGACTTGACACATCCATAATTTGGGTAAACCGATATCGTGAAGAATTAAAGAGATATCAGTCGGGGAATGGCAAAATTGTATTAAATATCTGCGCATTGAGTTTTCTGTGTTTGTGTTATCTGTTCTCGACTGTACTATACCAAAATGTTTGAACTTCAATGCTAAGTCACTGTTCTTCGAGATGGCCTCAAGTGTCAAGTACATCTTTAAACTCAGAGCCCAAACGGTCTACCAATAACTTTAAAAAGTCTGGAATACCCTTAAACTCTGACTAAATCTGGGAATGTTTTCTTTCATAGTTGGTCTACAGTCAAAATTGGCGCAGGCAGCCACTTATTTTTATGAAAAAAAGTGTTTGTCTTAAACAGGTGTTTGTTTTGGGCAGTATCAAGGAGTACGATACAGTACTCCTTGGGCAGTATCTATAGAAAAAAAATCACGGAAGGGAAGTAGGTAGTAGTTTTTCGTAACAGTCATTGTTTTGGACAAGTGCTTGTTAGAAAAATTCCCCCAAAGTTGGCTGGTTTTGAAGCATAGACTTCGCAAAGAAGTGTAAAGAGGGACTAGCTGGTGTGGGCTTTGAATGTTTATGCCACGTTAATCATTTCAAGTCTGGAGAGGTTGGGCATAAAAGACTAGAGAAAAAAAGGAAAACAAAGATATTGATCTGGGGTCCAAGCGTCTTTTCATGTGTGTGTGTGTGTGTGTGTGTGTGTGTGTGTGTGTGTGTGTGTGTGTGTGTGTGTCTG